TCCCAGAATACTGCTTTCTCTACCAAGCAGAGGCGACTAAGTCAACCTTATTATTTAACCGTTAGTTAGAGAATAAATTTATCTTTACTTATGTGCGGGTGGTGTACTGCATAGCGGCTCGGTATGTAAAATCTGAGAGAGTTCGAATTGCAGTCGATTTTCTTACATTCATTTATGTGCAAATACACTTAGAATAGGTATGAATCCATCTCTTCTTCCTTCAGCTATGGGTTAAATAGCAGGAACTAACAAGGGCTCTTTAGCTGTGGTTGGTTCCCGTCTAAAAGAAATGTCTGAATTCAAAACCGGTTGGACATGTTGCTAGCAACTCCATCCCGTGGAAACCATGCAGTAATAGCTTGTGTACTGAGAGTTGTAGGTCCCATACACCGTGGGGTGGTCTACGAGACTTTAGTATGAGTTTTCTTATAGTATTATTGCGAAACCAACGTCGATTACCTAAGCTGATGTTGGAACTAGGATCAACTATTCCATTTTATGCGATGATAACACTTCAGCCAACCTGTATTGTTATGAAGAGAGAACTAAATTTAGAATTAACTAGGGCTGTTTTCATTTACAAAGCACGAACTTAATATGGAGTAACAATAATCAGTCTGATTGCGTAGTAGATAGAGAAATCTCTAGCCAATTTCAATGATACGGGGCTAGTGCAAATATTACTGAAACAGTATGATACGCAAATATACATGCTTGTGTATACATACAAATAAATGGACATTGACAAAAAAAGGGTTAACTAGGGTTTACAAATCTATTTCTTCAAGAATTTGTCCTTTTGTATAATACTGTATATGTTGTCATATATATATATATATATATATATTGCTCATAAGTTTGTTTGTACAAGTATACCCTCGCTTGTTTATTCATGCGGCTCTTCTGTCTGAGAACACAAGATCGTTGTGATAAGTGGATCCCTTGGGGTGGTAGTGGTGGGGAGACGAGTCCAGTTAAAAAAAAAACCTGCTTCGACATTGATATCTTCCTGGGAAAAACTACTGTCATTAATAGAAATAAATACGTAAATATAATCGTTTTTAGTTATTTTTATTTATTTTTTTCTGTCACTATCCTTAACTTACACATCTTAATTCTAAAGATTCACCAAAAAAAAAAAAAAATTTCCTTTGATGAGCACACCATCTTCTCGGAACAGATTTTTTTCTCTCTCTCTCTAGTTTCAGTAGCTGCTCACTAGGGATTAGTGGTCAATCTTCTGATGCAGTGGACAATACAAATACTGGTCACTTTCAACTCCGGATTCCCCGGGCAGAATGTGCTTCTCTTCAAGTAGCATCCGAAAAATCGGCAGGGGAGATGGACATAACCCGGTCGCCTTGCGCAGCAATTATAAACCAAAGACTCTGAATCAATATGGAAGGTTAGATTCGTATAAAAACTGTTAGTAGGGAGAAGAAAAACGACATATTTCCATAAAGCTAAATACAGTTAGTTGTAAAGTGGGTTCAGGAGTGGATAGAGCAGTTTTTCATTCACTTGACCCTTCATTACTTGCCACTGAGGAAAAGTTAAAGCGATGGGAGGTCACACCTATCGTATACTTTTTTTTAATGCTTTTTGTTTGTTTGAGAGTTCGTTTGCTTATTGTAAACGTCCTTAATGGTATTGGGATTTTTTTTTAATTTGCTATTTATAGATTGACTGTCAGCTATGCTTACTTCTCTTTGCATGTTTCAGTTTAATAATTGGGTGTTCGGACAGCAGTTCTTCTTTGATACATGTTTCTTTGAAGAAGACTGGCGTACTATAGTTTATATTGTTTTTTCTTGTATACGAACAAATATATCTTTTTTTTTTTTTTAACTTAATGTATTGTCCAAACGTTAGTTGCTTCCGAGTGATTTCAGCTAAACTGTTAGACATTTTCAAGTATTATTTTTTTTTGTTTTATAGTAAATGGTGTGTAAGTACTGAGGGTATAAAAGATGCTGAAAATAGATATATTCTTATTTTCAAAATACGGACAGTAACAATATTATTAAGAGTTGATTGAATGTTTTATAAGAGCCTAAATTTTTGTAACGTGTTTCATATTGTGAGGTACGCATCAGATTCACGTTCCCGATGAGTATATTGCATATTATGAACATGGGTACAATGTATTGGCTGCATTTGGAAATTCTGAATATATCTACTTTCCGAAAATTTCATACCATCTACACGGTGTCGCCGCGTATACCCCCAAACCTCTCGAGCGGAGGGTGTCAAACCTGATTCGGGGTCCTGACAGTGCTTCGTGGCCTTCGCTATCTTATCAAAATTTGTTTTCTTTCTATATTTAATACATTAAAAATTAAACTAAGTATAGCTGACTCTTGTTAAAGGATGAAACCTTTTAACGGATTCTGTAACCATTCTGAGGTCTTCTTTTACTATTTCTGTGTGTGTGTCTGTTTTTCGTCCAAATCCGTGAATTTGTTTATTCTAAGTTTCAAAAAACACTATATGAAAGTCGCTACTTTTATACATATTATTGAATGTGTTTAACATTTTTAACAAGAAAAACCTCAACTTGATGTTAAAAATTAACGTAAAAGATTACGGATTTAAGATGGAATGATCTATTACGACATGTCTATAAATTGTATTTAGATACACTGTATTTATTTTAAAATTTTTTAGTTGAATATTTTACCTATATCGTATACGATCCATTATTGTACACAATTAGGTTACAATGAAATTTCTATTTCATATGAATACTACCTTATGAAAATTAAGATGTAGTAGAGAGGTGGGGCTATCAAAGATTCGTGGAGGGACACGAGATCCCTACTTAAACATTATTAGAGAAATATAAGATAAAAATAATCTTTCAAAATAGCTATTTAGGCGAAAGCGTTCTTAATCCACAAACAGTTGGACAATTTTTACATTCGTTCAGTCCAGAAAAGATATCACTTGTACGCATGCAAGAAAACCCAATATAAAAACTAAATTATCTTGTTCTGGATATGACGATAAAGACGTCCCACAGAATGGCCACTAATCAGGAGGCTTTGAGGCGCGCGGGACTACCTCTTAATTGCTGGTGTAACAAATGTTAGGATCCGTGCTATGGGAAAATAGTTAACCCTAAACTGGGGCCGAAACACTATGAAAGTGAAAAATAGATTTTTGTAAAAAAAAATAAAAAATTACCAATAAATTTTTGAAGGATTTGTTCGAAAAAAATGTTAACAGCAATAGATTTTTGGGAAAAACAATATTACCAGCAATAAAAAAACTAGTCGGCATTAAATAACCCATTGAGGTTGATATAACGTAAAACAAAACAAAATAAACCAAACTAAATTATCTCTCTAATTTTACCACATCTGAATATTTTAGTGTATATACATCTATAATTTATTTATGACGCATTTATATGTTAATATTGGGGTTTCATGCCTGCCGTAAATCAGTGGGTCGTCAGCTAACATTTTAGACAGTGTCTAATGTACCTACTGAGTACGTCATTCTTGTGACTGCTAAATATGGATTAGAATAAGCAATGTTTATTCAGCTATCGATCTGGAAAAATTTGTCTGTATACCTGTCTGCACATTTCTACTTCTGTTTCAATCTGTCAATTTATTCGATTGCATGCATGTCAGTTTTCCTCACAACATTTTTCTTAGGTGTATCATGTAAGTTCTACTCGACCGCATTCTTCCAATGAACCACTTTGTGGAAAGAACTCCTAAGAGGATGCTTCCCCAATCACTACAAGCTTCTACATTTTAAGTCTAAATTCAACCGTTATCTTCCCCACATAAACTCTGCCTTTTACATTGTAACCGTCTACCTCAATTAGCTCTTAGGTCTTGTACAGGGTGTACATGATTGTAAAAACTTGTTTTCTTAGCTCTCTCTCTCTCTCTCTATCTCTCTCTCTCTCTATCTATCTCTATCTATCTCTATCTATCTCTATCTCTCTATCTATCTCTCTCTATCTCTCCATCCATCCCTATCTATCTATCTATCTATCTCTCTCTATCTATCCCTATCATCCTATCTATCTCTATCTATCTATCTCTATCCATCTCCCATCTCCCTATCTCTCTCTCTCTCCATCTCTCTCTCTCTCTCCCTATCTCTCCATCCATCTCTCCATCCTATCTCTCTCTATCTCTACATCTCATCTCTCTCTATCTCCCTCTATCTATCTCTATCTCTCCATCTCCACATCTATCTCCATCTCTATCCCTCTATCTCTCATCCCCATCCATCCTCCATATCTCATCCCCATCCCTCCCCATCCCATCCTCATCTCCATCTCCCCATCCATCTCTATATCCATCTCTCTCCCATCCCCATCTCTCTCTCTCTCTCTATCTCTCTATCTCATCTCTCTCTCCATCTCTCTCTATCTCCATCCTCCATCTCTATATCTATCTATATCTCTCTCCATCTCTCTCTCTCTCTCTATCCATCTCTATCTATCTCTCATCTCTCTCTATCTATCTCTATCTCTCCATCTATATATCTCCATCTATCCATCTATCTCTATCTATCTATCTCCATCTCCATCTCATCTATCTATCTCCATCTATCTCTCATCTATCTATCTCTATCTATCTATCTCTATCCATCCTCTATCTCTCCATCTCTATCTCTCTCTATCTATCTATCTCTATCTATCTATCTATCTCCTCTCTATCTATCTCTATCTCTATCTATCTCTATCTCCATCCTATCTCTATCTCTATCTCTCTATCTCTATCTATCTCTATCTCCATCTATCTATCTCTATCTCTATCTCTATCTCTATATCTCTATCTCTCTCTATCTCTATCTCTATCTCTCTCTCTATCTCTTATCTCTATCTCTATCTCTATCTATCTATCTCTATCTCTATCTCTATATCTATCTCTATCTCTATATCTATATTATCTCTATCTCTATATCTATATCTATCTCTATCTCTATATCTATATCTATCTCTATCTCTATCTCTATATCTATCTCTATGAATATAGCAGTGATGAATTAAGTTAATCTTCAAACACGATCTACAAATTTCAATAAATTTTATTTGGGTATTATTTTTCTTTCATATTGGAAGAAAGGAATTACAAAGATTCTTTGCGAATAACTTCACGCAAAATATTTTATAACTTTTTTTTTTTTTTTTTTACAGTACAGCCGAAGGAATTTTGTTAGTATAGGATAAACAGAAAACCAGTATACATGTCTACTGATGTATGTGACACGATTTCGCGTTTTCTTTGTGCGTTTAAATTATGGTTGTTGACCGCATGAAAAAGGCAGGTAAAGCTATCGCTACCGTCGCTAAGCATATTTTTGTAATATTAAATACTCGAATAAATATGCGAAAAATGTTAAGTGTGAGAATTTCAATTGTGCTTGTGTAACAAATGATCGAACAAATACTTTGGTCAAAGATTCACTGAAAAACTAGTATCAAACAAGAATTGATAATATTTATATTAAAGTAATCGGCTCCGGAAGAAGCCAAATTTTCGAGTTATTAATCTGAATTTTATAGAGCAATAAATATTTTCCTAAATTTTAAATATCCATTTGAATAAGGGGAAAATATTGCTGATGATATTCTGAAGTGAGCTTCCAAAATTTAACTAAGATATTTTGTCGTCTGCCATTTCAAAATGAATATCACGCGTCTCACTAGTTGGTTTATTTATATATATATATATATATATATATATATATATATATATATATATATATATGAACGTTTTCAGTGTACAAAAATGACTTTTTCGTGAGAGTACTTAAATCTATAGCATTTTTACAAATCTGAAACTGGTTCTCTCTCTCACACACACACACACACATATATATATACATATATATATATATATATATATATATATATATATTCAGTAATTAGAAAAAATATTTCATGAGAACAAAATCTACGTTAACTAGATCAAGCCTAATTTAGAATAAGCAACTGGATGCAGTTTTCATTTCAATTTTATTTTATCGGTTTCATTACAGAAAAACAGATTTACAACTACTGACAACTCATCTTGTTTTTTCTATGGTTTATATGTCTACACACGTAATCAAGAAATGTCCAAATAAGTCAGAGGTTAGATAAATATTCATGAATTCATCAGACATCTGAATCTGATGGCATTTTCGACGCAAAATCAAGGGAGTAATTCACTTTAATTTTTATTGATTTAGGGAATATTATACTTCTAGTGATTTATTAAATGCTTTTCGACAAAGGTTCTGCTGGTCTAAAAATACGTTAATCTCGTAATTTAAGATCGAAAGTAGACACGATTAGTAGGAAGAAAGACGCAGGATCACGCAGGAGCGGAATAGAAATGCTCTCCGCCTTAAATGATTTCGGCATCGATAAGATCTCGGAACTAAAAAAAACGAAATATGAATAATGACCCTAGTAGATTCATCTTCGTGGCATTACCAAAGAAATCCGATGCAAATGCGAGCTCCATCGGACGATCAGATTAATGACTCCTATAACCAAGCTAATGATCTGAATCCTGATGAATAGACCATTGAGCAGAGTTATACCGGAAATATGACCAGGACTGTCATGGGCACCGAAACGAGAAATGCGATATTTATGTTATCGAAGAGAGCAATACAAATGCAGATGATGTATACTCAAGTTCTACGCAAAAAGCATTTAAGATATGGCACAAGGATCTATTTGAACGGTTAGAAATACTAGATCTATTTGGAAAGCATGTTAGAATTAGATGAAGTGGATAGCGGCTCAGATTGAGGAATCTGGAGCCGACTTGGAAATCCAGTCGAATCCATTACATTCACTTACATGCTAATAACTTTGGGAAAGGTATGGATCCTTTTATCCCCCCACAGCTATGGGTAAATAGGACAGACCAGGTTCTATAGCCTTGGATGGCAACTGTCCTACTGCAGAAATAAATGGCAACCCACTGCGGGAAAAACCTGCCTCGTATGCAATGTATCGAAAGATACATGATCGCCTAAGCGTGTATCACGCATGGTACATAACTGACTGATGTTAGAATAATCCAGAACTTATATTGGTGGGGAGGGGGCGTATGCATACTGAGTGCGTACACAAAATAATAGAAACGGATGAAAGACAAGGTATCCTCTAATAGGGCATATCGAGAAAAAGAAAGATAGAGGAAGACGGAGGGCTTATCTACCTAATGAACTTGTGTAACTGAATATCGGAACGGAGGGTTGAGTCCTACTAAATGAAGATACGCTATTAAAGTGCAGAAGAGAAGTCTATAAGAAGCTATAGCCATGATCGCTTGCCTATACCCTGAAGGAACAGGGCACATATGGTGAACTTTCATGTTGCGGACGACAAGTGAGTGCGCAGGATATTAAAGAGGTGCTCGTCTTCTATGGACACGCTGTGTTTTCCGAAAGCTGCAAGTGTTTTACAAACTTTTAGACAGATGGAGCACGTAGTTGCCCTATTATTCACGAGTGCCTAAAGATCAATAACCACATGTTTGTGCGAGTGGACAAAACCACAGTGGCATGTAAGGCTATCATTGAGAGGAGCAGAATACTGCTATCTTGCTTTAATATTTGCACACAGTTGATCCCGATGTTCCAGTCGGCGTCGCTCAAATAGATCAGGGGAAGGACAGGCACCAGCTCCCTAGTCCTGAAGATTCTTCTCCCGGATGAAAAGTAGATGCAGCATCGCTTCAGATTGTCTTTGAATTTGTCTATGAAACGTAAGAGTGTCCTTTCAACTAACCTGCTTGTTAGATGCATTCCAGAGAATTGTGTTGGAAGTGTATTATCGCTCAATGTCCTGCCTGAGTTGGATTTTCATTAGGATGACATTTAGTCAGAATATCATTATTTCTAATGCGTTCACTCTGGTTTCTATTGCAAATGGTACTTTAGGCAACGCATGTGGAAGGTATCGAGCTGATTGATATGTTGCCGGTACAGAGACCAAGATTCTGCGCCATCGGATGTTAGTACTACTGCCTTGTACACATCAATTTTCAACATTTTAACGAGAATTCCAAAGCCTGTGGTAAAGATCACCGAAGACAAGTAGACATTCCAATCCTACACTCAAATGCTTTGTTTATTTTTGCATCGTTGTATACAATGGAGCCAAGATAATTGAAGAGGAAATGATTTTCGAGACATTTCCCTCAACATAGCGCAATCAACACCTGGATATTGGTTACAGACACGCTAATAGACAAGTTCTGTTTTCTTTATGCTGATAGTCAGACCGAAATCTTTAGATGCATGAGTTTGTTAACGATTCATTGCATATCCACAAGGGTGTAGACTATAAGTGCGCAATCGTCTGCTTAATTTTAGGGTGTTTTTATTAAAGAAAAATAAAAAACACCCTAAAATTAAGCTACAGTTGCACCGAAAATCTAGAAAGTATAATAAAAAAACACAAAATCCCGGAAAAAAACCCATGCCAAAATAGTATTAATAAAAACCCTACACTTAAATTAGAATAAAATAATGAAAAGTTATGTGATTGTAGAAACCCTGAAAACTGCCCATTGGAAAATATATAACACATAAAATCTGTATTATACCAATGTACTATCTCATCCATTGAGAGTTCTAACACTAATATGATATACATTGGGTCTAAGAAGAATGAAGTCAAAACCAGGTGGAGACAGCATAAGAGCTCCTTCAATAATATTAATAATAGAAATCAGACATCCCTATCTAAATATTTTTGGCATTTGAAAGAAATGAATAAAACACCAAAAGTAAAATGGAATATTATAAACAAAACTAGAACTTGTAAAACTTGGGATGACGCATGTCCTTTATGCCTACATGAAAAACTACACAAGTTTCTAAATAATGAAAATTTATTAAACAATAGACATGAGTTAACGGTCTTTTGCCGACATCATCAAATTTTCGCATTAAATAATTAGCATAAAAAACAAACAATTAAATAATAAATACATATTTTAAACTCCATAGTCTAAATAAAAGGTTTAAAAGCCCTACCCAATCACATAAAAAAAAGATACGGTCTTATGTTCGCATTAAATAATTAGCATAATAATGAATACAAATTTTAAACTCAATAGTCTGAATAAAATGTTTAAAAGCTCAACCCAGTTTTATATATATATATATATATATAATATATAAGCTTTATGAAGTCGTCAAAAAAAAAAAAATGTTAGCTAATTATGACAGTTTTATATACACAAAACACTTTCAGGAAAGAAAATAAAATAAAAAAAAAATAATAATAATATATTGACACTTAACGGTTAACCAGACTAGACGATGTCATCTTCCGCTTTAAATTTAGACACCCTAACCCTACCTTGACTTGACCTCTTTGAATGTAACTGATATTCATACAAATTATTAACCCTTACGCCCCTTATTTAAATAAATGCTGTATCCGTTACCATAGTAATTTTAATAATGAATCTGCTTATAAATAAATTTCAAGAATTAGTTATTCCAAAAATTTCGCTTGAAGATGGAACAGAGCTTAGTACTTTAATTCAGTTTAATTCTAATAATTATATTGAAGTTTTCGGCTCTTCTTTTAAAACATGAGAACTCTTATGTAGCGAAGGAATCATGTTTTTAAATAAATAATTATATTTAGGTTCTATTTTTTTTATCGAGCACTGTTTTTTAAAACAAAAAAAAATCAAGAACTTCGGATTGTTTACTTAACGAGTTCTTTCATATTTTCACACACACACACACACACACATATATATATATATATATATATATATATATATATATATATATATAAAATTTATTTGTGTGTGTCATATATATATATATATAGAGAGAGTTTGTTTTATATATATATAATTTTCTGTATATAATATAAAAATTTCGATACAAAAGGAAAATGAGTTAATCCCCTTGTACTATGAAAGCATCGATAATGGCTAATATAATATATTAATAAATAATTTTACCTCTCATAATCTGAAAACGCTGTATCTAAGCTCAA